TGCAAGTTTTGTGAGAGACCTTGTCTCCAAAAATAAGGTGGAGAACAATTGACGAGGACAGTCATCATAGAGCCATGGCCTACACAAACATGCATGTTTGTATGCACACAGGTATACACCCATACTAACATGTGCATTGCCCATGTGTGCATACATGCACACACGTTTCCTTCACAAGTATTGGACAGATGCTTAGCTAATTTTTTAATTTACAGTTCCACAGGTGGTATTGGTTTTGAAGACATGAAGGGGTAATTAAGAGAAGCTGAGGCTTGGCACCATAAGATGCAGCCTTAGCCCTGGGACTGAGGGGTCATGTAGAGAAGTTGAGGCTTGGCACCAGCTAACCAGGTATGAATCCCTACAAAGAGCCCAGGAGAGGCTAGTGAGAATAGTCAACCCAGTTGCGGTGGAGAAATCAGCATTTTGGAAATGTCAGTACCATGGGGCCACCACCAAGAACAGCAGCACCTGCAGAATGGAGACAGACTGACCCTGTGAGATGAGTTGTGTGTGGTGGATGGCACAGCCTGAGAAATGGATCTAGCTGCACGGGCCCTTTGGAACCCAGAGGATCATGAGAGGGTTTCAGGCATTTAGTACTGAACTTTTCACACTGTTGAACCTTGCCTCGGTTCTTCCCTCTCAGGGAAGAAAGTGTTCTACTTACTTTGATTATAAAGAAGCCCACAGTTGATTCTGAACTTTAACAGAGACTCTGGACTTTCAGAAAGGCTGGGTATTTTTAGAGACCAGATATTTTAGAGAAGCTTGAATGCTTTAAAGAGACTGAACTTTTAAAGTGTTTGAATTTTAAAGACCATGGACTATTAAAATTACCCTCATAGAGTTCATAGTGCAGAGAAACCCTGGAAGTGGGAAGAATGTGGCAAAGCTTGTTCTACTCTCATAGATTTTTATGTGTATGTGTGTGTGCTTTGTGTAGTTATGCGCACACGAGCACAGGTGCTCTGAGGCCAGAAGAGGGCATTGTATTCCCTGGAGCTGGAGTTAGGAGCAATTTTTGAGCTGCCCCATGTTGATATTAGGATCCAGGCTTAGTTCTTCAAGAACTAGGTACATGCTTTTATCGCCCAGCCATTTCTCCAGCCCTTGCACCACAATTCTTTACCATAACTACTCAGGGACATAGCTCTATTGGACAGTTCTGTTCATTGCAATTTTCCTGAACCATGAGACTAAATATTTAATTATCACTTTATTATTTTGCTTGTGGGCTCTGAAAATACTTTTATTTCCTGTATGACTGAAACTTGTATCCCACAGAAGATGGAGTAGTCTAGCTATTACTAATTAGAGCCCTGCTTCTCTGAGTCACCCCAGAAGTCAGTGAGAACTGAGCTCTGTTGGAAGACAAATGGAGGGGGAGCAGCACTGGGGTGAGACCGGGTCACTTGCTGAGATTATTGTCACTGTAGCCATCTTCCTCTTGCTTGCTTCCAGTTCCTTTTATTTGTACTGGATGAGAAAGAGTCTTGGCCATGCTTTTAATTATGAGAAAAATTATTTTTAGAGCAATCACAGTATCAATATCTATTACAACCACAACCATCACAGGTGAGGCCATGCTGAGAACAAGGGTGGGAGCTCAGTGGGGTCCCTTCCTTTCTTTGTTTTTCCCTCTGTAATTATGTGAGCTTTCAATCCTGGAAGGGAGGGGTACCTGGAGTCACCTGAGGACGGAAGAGCTCCCTTGGGTGGCAGGAATTCTGTAGTAGGTTTCTCAACTCCAGAGACTTCCTTCAGAACTAAGAATGAGTGATCTTACAAGAGTGGAAACATAAAAGATTACTTTGGGTAGTGAGATTACCAAGTAATTAAAGGAGACCTACAATCAGACCTAAAAATATGGAAACCTTTGCCTTATATTCATGCTTATAGATCCAATATTAATATGTTCTATGTCCACAAATTGATGTTGCAAGATCAGTACTAAAACTCCCAACTGTTCTTTTTAGAAGACTTAAAAAGAAATCGAGAAGCCAATTCCGAGATTTTTGTAGAACTATAATAATTCTAAAGCAGCCAAAGCAATGAAAAATAGTGGGAAAATAAACCTACCCGATTTTCAGATTTTTCTATAAAGTTTTGACAATTAAGATAAACAAAATAACCATCAGCCCAGTGGATTCAAAATTAGACCCATACATCCACATGCACTACTTTTCAGCAAAGGTACAGGGCCAATTCAATGAGGAAAGGGTTTCAAAAGTGGCATTGAGGTGCTAGCACATGGCTGAGTTGGCAGAGTGTTTACTTAGTGTGCAAATTCCTTGGGTTCCATACTCAAGTCCATCTTGATATGGCTGCACACACCTGTAGCCCTAACACTTGGAAAGTAGAAACACAGAGGATTAGAAGTTCAAGGTCATCTTCAACCATACAGCAAATTTCAGGCTAGTCAAGGTTACATGTGATTCTATCTAAAAACAGAACAAATGATATACTCCCCAATACACCCATTTCTACACAGAAATAATGATTTGACATATCACACAGAGAAGTCCAAGCTGGTGCCTAACTAGAGCCTTCACATCTCCTGCAGTGTTCATGATGCTGGAAGTACTTGGTTCATCAACAGAGGAGAAAGCTAAACATCGACCCAGATACAAATCGACAACCAAATCTACAAGTCTGCAATCTATGGTGGTGACCTGCCTGCAAGATATGCTGGTGCACAAACATTATGGGATCAACAACCAACTACTCTCTGATTGGATGAACCCTTGCCTGATACTGCTTGGGTGGCCATGAACTGCGTAGACCTCAGGTCTAGGGAAACCCAAATACTATTGTTCTGCTAAGAGAACATGGTGATAAAATGACTCCTAATGACACTCTGCTATGCCCACAGAGCAGTGCTTTGCTCAGTCATGATCAGAGATGCCTCCTATTGCGATGGATGGAAACTAACACAGAGTCCCACAACTGGACAATATGCAGAGACTAAGAGATTTTGGAACAGTCAGTGTTAATCGGAAGTCATCATCAAACTCCCCCTTTCCAGGGTACAGGGAGCTATGGAAGAGGAAATGGAAAGGTTCTATGAGCCAGAGAGGATGGGCAGCCAACAAAACAATGTCTTCCAGACACAACAGGACTGATGCATATGTGCAAAGAGACAAGTAGTATGCACAGATTCAAGCCAGATGAGGCTCCCAAAACTGAGGGAGGGACAAAGGCTCTCACCCCGATGATGTAGCTGTCTGCAATTGACACCGACTTGCAAAGGAAAAAAATTCTTTTCTCCAGTGGAGTCTCATTGGGTATATTAGCTACACTTAAGAATAGGCCCTGTGGTGGTTTGAATAGGAAGGACCCCTATAGACTCATGTGTTTGAATGCTTGGTCCACAGGGTATGGCACTGCCAGGAGGTCTTGTTGGAGGAAGTGTGTCATTGTGGGGGCAGGCTTTGCAGTTTCAGAACTAGCTCACATTAGGCCTAGTGTGGCATTCTCTTCTGCTGCCTGCACATCAGGATACACAATTCCCAGCCCTTCTCCAGCACCATGTCTGCCTGTGTGCTCCCATGCCTCCTGACAAGCTGATAATGGACTAAACCTCTGAAACTGTAAGCCAGCCCTAAGTAAATGTTTTCCTTCATAAGAGCTGCTGTGGTTACAGTGTCGCTTGATAGCAAGAGAAACCCTCACTGAGACAGACCCCATGCCCAGTAGTAGATGGCCAACACAAAACAACTCAACGGTGTTTCTGTAGACTTTTTGTCTCATGTTGCTTTGTTTGAGCATTTTTGTTTTTATAATTTTTTGAGATTATAATTTGATTATAACAATTCTTATCTTCCCTCCCTCCAAACAAACCCTTCCATATACGTTTCTCTGCTATCCTTCAAATTTATGTCCTTTTTAAAACTAGGCTTTTTTGGTTTTTTGGCAATCTGCTTGAATATTATAGTTTCTGACATTTTTGTGTCATATTTCCTCTCTCCATTTCTTTTTTATTCTAATTTTGTGATAAATTTTCTCTCTCTTTTATATTCTAATTTTTTAGCTGTTTGCTTTCTAAAGAGAGAGGGAAAAGGGTGGAGTTGGGTGGATAGGGTGGAAAGGATCTCGGAGAAGTCAAGGGAGGGAACCATAATCAGAATATATGTATGAAAATTTCTTTCAATTAAATAAAATGATGATAAAAAATCTATGTATTTTATCATATGTAAATTATATCTCAATTTAAAAAAGAAGTGTAATAAATTGTAGTTACAGGTACCAATATATAAAATATCTAGGCCTGATTGTTAATTTCTCATCTTAAATTATACCTCATGAAACTGCAAAGCTTCTTCCCCATCCATACTGTCTTATAAAAATTATTCCTGTATTTAAAGCACAGTGGTATCCAAATAAAGTCCTTAAGGTCTTCTTCTTCTTCAGGTATAAAAATATCAATATAAAATAAATAGTCGATTTTAACACTCTTGGCTGGTTAATGGAGGCACAGGAGCAGCTGCCTGTGTCTGTCATTACAAATGCTGGCTGCTGCAAAAAGAATGCAGGCAGACAGTACCGTTAAATGAGTTTTCAGAGTATGCACACCTCACACCCAAATATAAGGCCACACATTATGATATGATATATAGAACTTAACTAATTATTTTTCGGTTTTTTTCTTCTAGATCACCTTTCAGGCAAAGCAAGGTACCTCATGTAATTCATTCTTGTATTTTCAGAAAAACCTAGGGCAGTGTCTTGAAAACAATAGATTTCAGCATTTGTTAATTATATGCTTGAATTAAATAATGAATAGATTTACTATTTAGTTAAAATTTATATCTATCTGGGTGGCAGTGGTGCATGCCTTTAATCCCAGCACTTGGGAAGCAGAGGCAGGAAGATCTCTGTGAGTTCAAGGCCAGCCAGGTCTACAAGAGCTAGTTCCAGGACAGGCTCCAAAGCTACATACAGAGAAAAACCCTGTCTCAAAAAAAAANAAAAAAAAAAAAAAAAAAAAAAAAAAAAAAAACCAAACCAAAAAAAAAATCTAAATTTTACTCATTATAATATATAGTTTAGTGCAACTGACTTATAATTTTCACATGAAATGTCTGAACCAGTAATAATCTCATTTGATAATTTATGGGACATACATTTAAAAGTATACTCCATGATATACAAATTCAACCAACCTCAGATTAAAGATGTCACACCACACCATATTAACCATTCTAGATTTTAAAAAACTATAAAAAGGTACACTGTTTTTTAAAACTATAAAAACCACAACCACCTTTCAGTTTAGTTTTGATTGCCATGTGTGAATATCTGAAGATTATAAAATGAAGGCTTCAAGGACATAACTTAGTTTGAATACCCCACTGACACAATCAAGTAAACGTGTAAGGAAATGGTTCTACTGATGGAAACTTGGCCAGTGAGAGTGATTCTTTTGGCAGCTGAGGCTTCAGGGCTTTCCCTCCAGGCAGCCCTCCTGCACACACAGTAAGTGTCCTTCTTCCAAGATTTCCTGCAAGTTAGGACAGGCTCAAGATGGTCAATGCTGCTTCAGATAAGACACCTAGAACTCCCTGCATGCCCTGGGCTTTCATCAGGAAGCCAGTGGCAAAACATCAAGAGTGAGTGCCTCATTCTACATGGGGACACCCACGATCATGTTATTTTTGGGAGAGCAGCTCTCTGGCTCCATAGATATCACTTGAACAGAGTAGCTGTGTTCTTCTGCTGCGGTTGCACGGTCCATATCCACCAGGCACATGCACTGCTTCCCTGAAACAAACAAAAAAAAATGCATCTTGAGACACCTTTACTAGCAATGTATTCCTGTGCACACACAGGAGTCTTTAGTGACGACATCCATCAGTACTATGGAAAAGGCTGTGTTCCCTAAGTACAATTTACTTTAGACTTAGTTTCTGACCAGTGTGAAGACACACTTCACAGATCAAGCTTGATGAATAATTTCCTTTTTTCTATTATTATTATTATTATTATTTTGTTTTTTCAAGATAGGGTTTCTATGTGTAACAGTTCTGACTGTCTCAGTACTTGCTCTGTAGAACTCAGAGATTCACCTGTCTCTATCTCCCAAGTGCTGGGATTAAAGGTGTGCGCCATGACTGCTGGCCAGAAGGCTAACTTTTAAAAATGTAATGATAAGTATATCTCAAATTGCAACTATCCATTCTACTTTATACTTTGGTCAAAATCCATTTTATAGGATCAAAATGCAGAATGCATATAAATGCTATAAATGCAGAATAATATACTGACAAGGGCCCATCTGAAACACATGTCATGTTTCTACCGGGAGTTTTGTGGGGCAATGAAGAAATAAGAAGTGTGACGTGTCTGAGAAAATTCTTAACCGTGCGCTAGTTATTTCAGGCAGAAGTCAGTGCTGAGTGTCATTACCTCATTTTCAGACCTCACCTCATTAAGGTACTGGTTTTCTATTTCCTTAGAGGAAAGCTCACTGGCAAGCAAGCAGCTTATCTGTTTTCCTTTGGAGTACATTTTAAATTCCAAAATTAGATTAGAAAAAAAAATGACTTGAGGCTTTCTGTACTAAAGCCACTACTTGCTTTTCTAATCCGAACTGTTCTACATTCAGCATCCAAAGTTCTCATTTTCCTGAAAGAGGTTACTGACTGCGGAGTCTCAGTCCTTCCATCTCCAGTAATTACAGTAGGCTCAGACATGCTTTCACGATACAGTAGCTTAGCTGGAGTCACTGATGTCACATCAGCAGTGAGCACACATCACTGAAATAGAAAACCGCTCGTGGAAAAAGTGATACTCTCACAGACAAAACAAAAGATGAAATTAGCAAGGAAGGATGAACGAGCGTCTCAGAGTCACAAGGCTGGTACTACACACGTCCTTAAAAGGAGTCAGAGTGTGAAGATTAAGTGGGCGAGAAACCCATACAAAGAGGGATCTAGAGTTCCATTCCTCCTCCCCAACAGGTAGATGGCTGGGTTCTTTCTTCTCTTAAAATATTTTCTTCCTTAAAGATGTGTGCGAATGCTTCCTCATCAACTTCTCAGTTAAAATGAAACATCCCCCATCAGAACGGGATGCTCTGCATTCCTTCAGGACCCACCCTGGCTTTACAAGGCAGCTCACTGACGCTTGGCTTCAATCCCAGTACAGTTAATTTTCCCTTTTTCATCTTGTAGAAGAATCTCATATTTTCCCATGCTAAGTGTCAATACAACTGAAATTCAGTTGTTGGCAACCTATCTTTTGGCGGTTGGCAAGTTTCCAAAAATGTTCATTAAGTGGAAGTGGCAAGATCTGTGACAGACTGACTTTGTCTGAACCCCTACCTGCCCTTTTCCTTCAGTAATCTTGCCAGATATGCTTCTGTCCCAATCCTAGCATTGCTCTTGCTTGACACTTAAAAACTCACATTGACCATGGCCACATCTGTCCACTACACCAATCAGGACATATTGATCTCTATGGTTTGAATGTGTTTCCCCAAAAGCACACTCTGGAAACTTAATCCTCACTGCAACTGTGCTAGGATGTGAGTCCCATGGAGCCACAACTGGCCATTCGTATGAGCGGATGTAGGCTGTTACTGCAGGGTGGGCTCGTTATTGTGAGTGTGAGTTCCTTCCAAAGGGACAAGTGTGGCCCCATCTCAGGGAAGCCTTCCCTTCCATTGCTGGTGCTCTCCCTTGTGCTCACTCACTCACTCACTGCTGATCTGTTTTTCTCCTTTGGCATTTGATACCTTCTACTAATGTTATGATTCTGCAAGAAGACACCCATCAGATTTAACCCCCTGATCTCTAGAACTGTGGACCAAATCAATTTCCATTGATTGTAAAGACCAAGACTGCAAAACTAAGAAACACATCTGGTGTAGTTATAACAGGTACACATTATACCAATTTAAAATCAGAAATGGGAAATCAGAAGGAAGAACAGGAAAAGAGGGAAGAAAATGAAAGGCTTTCGGCAAGAGATGGAAGTTCTGGGCACAGTGGGAACAGGAAGGGAGGTCCCTTAGCTGCAGGTCTCGGTGCCTTTCCTAGTGCGAGCACCGACTTTAGAATTTAAAAGTAATTATTTACCATATAATATCTTCCTGAGTATAAACTAACTACTTCAGTTGGGCTCAAAGAAACAACAATCTATTCATGTACACACGGAAAATGTAGGTTATGTTGGAATTTTAGAGTGTATGATAGTGGCCAATGTGGGATTTCTAAGAAAAAAAAATTAAGATGTGATTTAATCCCCAGCAGTCTATCTTAATTCCTGTTTTAAGGAAGCAGTATTGCAGGGGTGAACAAGAGCTCTGTGTCTAGAAGACAATCTGAGGTCGTGGTGCGATTCTAGCACCTGTCAGATGAAGAGTCTTATTCCTGTCTTCAGTAAAATGTAAATCATTGCGTCTCTCTCACTTATTTCCAGTGGTCAGTGTGTGATAACAGTTGCTATAATTCTTCTAAACACTATTACTTGGAATGGTTCTGTGGTCCTTTAACCTGAGTAATGTTCAATGCTGCAAATGCTGAATATATATGTGTAAGAAAACTTTTCTTTAGGAAAGACAGTTTCTTTATACATTCTTACTGAATCAGCTTTGGCATATGGAATGGACATTTACAGTTTCATCATTTTCTTTGTGACTTTGGGTAGATTCTGAAGTTCATAACAGTAAGAAAGATTTCCTGTGAAATCTATTCAGTGTACATCACAGAAATGGGGTAAAAGATGGATGCCAACCAAGATGTGTCACCCTGTTATCAAGTCCTGTTAGTGCGCATTATAGTTCCTGGAAGAACAAGCTTTCTGAATGACAAGTGGACAGTGTTTTCCCCAAATAGACCAGGCATGCTGGGCACACTCCCCCAGCAGCTGTTTGGTGAGAACACATACCTATGAGTCTTCTCTGCGGTGGAAGCTGGACAGCTGTCTGATCTGCAAATCTGCACAGGATCATGTGTTCCTAAAAGGAGCATGAAAAGAATGTAGGTTTATTCCAGTTAGCTCAAATATTACTTCTTAGACTATATATGTCATGTTACTGAACAGTCATTAATGGTGATATTCAGAAAGACGGAAACTGCTCTACTCAGATTAGTGACTCAAAACAATCACGACATTTGGGAAACGTCTCCACACGTTTCTTGAGTTTCTGTAAGCAAGAACCTAAGAACAAACAAAAAAAAATAATATAAATGGCAAGGGCAATGGGGAATATGTGGGATCTGGACGTGGCCAGCAGAGCCAACAATATCTGACATTTTATAGAAAAGTTTCCCTCCATTCCGGATTATCTTTCCAGCATGCCATTAGAGGGAACAGCCTTGAAAATAGTTTCCCTCTAAAAGCAAGAGTGGCCCACTTCCTGGGAAGTCAGCATGAGGATGATGGGACTCTGGCTGCTGCTACTGTTATAAGCAACAGCTGCCTTTTGTCCCTGACAGGAATCTCTTAACTCTGTCAGCATTTACCACGCCAGCTAACTTGTTAACTTGTATGTAAGGGCGGGGGAATCTCAGATTCTTTCCAAAAGTAATTCTCTACTCAGAGAATTAATGTGAATCTGAAACTTTTTTTTATTGATTTTTATTGAGCTCTACATTTTCTCTGCTCCCCAAGCCATACTAGATAGTTTAAAGTAATTCAATATATCTGATTATATAAGACAAAATTTGGGATGGAAAAGTATGAAGGATGAAAAGTTGTATACACTGGTTGATGTATATAATCCCAGCACTCAGAAGACAAAGGCAAGAGGGCTGCCATGAATTTAAGGCCAGGTTGGGATAATAATGAGTTCCAGGACACAGGATGAGAGCCTGTCTCAGATAAAACAACAAAACCCTAATTGCACAAACAAAGTATATTCACAGGATATCTAGATGTTTTTAATGAGGTTACCTTGTATGATAAAGTTTTCTTGAATTTTTCACTGGAATAGGAAACAAAAAGGAGTTAGTTACCACTTTAAAGGTCAAATAACTCATTAAGATTAGGCCTGTAATATATTAACTTAATTAGTATCAATTAAAAATAATTTGTGCTTTTACATAATTTGGAAACAACAGACTGTAAGTTTATACCTCTACCTTTGGTGGATTAGCTCTCATCCACAAAGAAATGAATGTTCTAAATAGCTCCAAGGACACAGAGCAAAATGACAGTAAATCCACAAGGCTGTAAAAAGGGTGACACGAAACTGAGATTTTTAAATCAGTAAAAGTAGGATATAAATCTGACCAGGTCAAACTAATATTCTTACACACCTCTTAGACTTATATATTTCTTACATGCACTGTAAAAATCACACATTTTATCAGGTTTTAACTGTTCAATAGGCTTCAAATTATAAGCATGTAAATAAATTACATACATAAATATCCTCTGTCTGTCTATCATTCAGTGCTTCCTTTAGTTTATTTGCGAATTGTGGCAAGAGCAAAATAATGAAAGAAAAAAAAAAGATTTGTTTCATGCTGTTAAAGTCTAAGTAAATTCCAATGAAAAATTTCTGAGGGTTTTTAGAAGCAGTGTGTGACTACTGATTTTGATTTTGTGTCCTGAGAAGTTTTTGGGTTTTTTTTTTTTTTTGACATAGGGCAGAAGTTACCACACTGATATATTTAGCTTCTGAGTACCAATAACTATGAACCAGAGAGTAAAATGCCACATACGGTTGTCTTCCAAGTTGTGAGAATTAAAATTTCCGCCTCTTCTATGTGGGATAAGAAGAATCATAAAGATGGCTATTAAATCTAATTAACACCCATGAATACTATTTATTATTACTTTGAAGTAAAACCCTATATTTTTGTTTATTTACTTTTTGTGTACGTGTGTGTAGGTGGGTGGGTACAAATGTCATGGCATGTGTGGAGGTCAGAGGGTCTGAGGGGGGGAATCAAGCTCAGGTTGTCTGATTGGTTGGCAGGTGCTTTCATCCTCTGAGCCATCCTGGAGGCACTATGGATGTCATCTAAGTATTAGCACCAGTTCACATTTATGGAGGACTTACCCTATGCCCTCCTATTCTTTCCGTTGTTTGATTTAGAGAGAGAGTCTTAATCTGTGCCTAGGCTGGTTCTGAACCTGAGGCAATCCTCCTACTTCAGTCTCCAAAGTGTCAGGATTATAAGCATGCACTTGGCCTCTTGGCCACTTCTAAGTACTGTTATTAAGGGCTCACCAAAGACCTTGCAGTAGGTCCTATTACAACCTCATTTTGTCTATGAGAAAACACAGGAAAATAGCAAAGTAACTTCTCTGAAGTTAAATACCTTATAGAGTGATAAGCATACTGTACCAGGTCAGTATGTTTCTAGACTCTAAACACTTGGCCATTACACTCCACTGTTTTTTACAAAGGATGGTTCTGATTTCATTTAGAACAACACAGGAAAGTGTGGAAGCCAGCAGACTTCTACTGGACTGGCTCCTAAACAGACTTGCTTCTAACTTGATCTGGAAGAAAAGGCAAGGACAGACAGAGGAGAGCCACTCATCCTAATCCTGATCACAAACAACACCTGCCACACTATGGAAAAGGTAAACAATCTCAAATTCAAATCTCACTGCAACCTTATTTATTTATTTATTTATTTATTTAATTTTATTTTGTCTTTTCAAAACAAGGTTCTCTGTGTAGCCCTGGTTGTCCTAGAACTCGCTTTATAGTCCAGGCTGGCCTCAAACTCATAGAGATCGTCCTGCTTCTGCCTCCTGAGTGCTGGAATTAACGGCGTGATCACCACTACCCGATTTTGCTGCATCTTTACTAAACAAGTCATTCCCACATCGGTGTCTTAGGTAAAAGGTTAAACTTCACCTTTTTGGGAAATTAAACTTGGATGTATTCTGAATGAAGCCATAACAGCAAGGGCAGGTGATGAAAGAAGCCCGCTTCTGGATACAGTGCTCAATCACCATGTCTGTCGCCACGCCACAAGCATGCAGCGCCACCTAGAGAGCAGAACCAGACGTTAGCACTCGGCTTCTGAGCTGAATTCTGAGTACTTAAAAGGAATCTGAGCTCAACTCAGGAGAAGCAGACACAAAAAGCAAGAGATAACCAAGATGAGCTGGAACATCTTAGAGCAGAAAGCAACATGCACCTAATACTACTAAAGGTTTGTCAAAGAATTTAACAGCAAGCCAAAGGGTATTACTGAGCAACATGAAAAAGCATTCACGAAAAAAATAATGGGGAGCATTGATTTAAAAAAAAAAAGCAATGGACAAAGTATTCCAAATATCAAATTTATGAGCCAATAATGATATCTCAAAAATCCAAAATTAAAAAAAAAAGATAAATAGGAAATACTGGGAAAAAAACTGTTTTTTTTGTTGTTGTTGTTTTTTTTTTTGGTAGCACACCATGTTTCTAGGTGGCCATTTGTTGATAATGGAATGTAATTAAAGACAGAATGATAAACTAGATTATTGCCATTCTGTAGGTTTTAATTACACAAGGTAGGGAGGGTCAGTGATTACAAATGCTGCTAATGCAGAGACAAGCAGACATACCACTAGCACCTATGATGTAGTCTAACTCAAAACTGAGGCAGAATCTAATCATGCTTCTGCAGTCTAGATACTTTTAAATATTTTTTTTAATTTATTTTTATTTTATGTGCATTGGTATTTTGCCTGCATGTATGTCTGTGTGAGGGTGTCAGATCTTCGAGTTACAGGCAGTAACCTTTAGTCAAATAGTCAAGAACAATTGAATGTCCAAACCCAACTGATGTATCTACAACACTCTGAGGCTCTGGGAACACTGCGGAAGACGGGCGGAAATCGTGTGAGAGCCATAGGAGTAGGCAGGCTGCTGTGAGGTGGTGCGCTCTAATGATACCCATGTTGCACCCATGAAATCTTAACTCCGTGGTCTCCTGAGCAAGATCTATCGAATGAGCACAGACATGGATGGGAGAACCTCACATGTCCCTACTAGATGAAGAGCTACAGGGAATCATGGCTGCTAAGGGCGGGAGAATCTGTCTTCTCCAAGGAGCAGGTCCTGGTACCGTTAGCCCAGGATCAAGTTTCAGACTTGATGCTCACTGAATGTCTATTACCTTTGCACAACCATAAAGTCAAAAACTGAATGAAGACACTTCCTGGTCATCCTCAGGGGCTACTCGGCCCGATACCCCCTCTCTCTTCCTATCCCTCCAGCTTGCATCCACATCCCTCCCCCCCTCCATCTGACTCCCTTCCCTCGTTGACCACATAACATCTCCCAGCCCAGCCTGTCCGGGCTCTAGGACCGAATCCGAATTGGCAGGGCAAACGGGAGGGTTGTAGCTCCTTTGTTCCCACTAGCACTGGACTGAGCTCCCAAGGTCCCAATGAGGAGCAGATGGAGGGAGAACACGAGCAAGGATGTCAGGACCACGAGGGGTGCACCCACCCACTGAGACAGTGGGGCTGATCTATTGGGAGCTCACCAAAGCCAGCTGGACTGTGACTGAAACAGCATGGGATAAAACCGGACTCTCTGATCATGGCGAACAATGAGGACTGATGAGAAGCCAAGGTCAATGGCAAGGGGTTTTGATCCTACTTCATGTTCTGGCTTGGTGGGAGCCTAGCCAGTTTGGATGTTCACCTTTCTAGACATGGATGGAGGGGGGAGGACCTTGGACTTTCCACAGGGCAGGGAACCACGACTGCTCTTTGGATAGGAGAGGGAGGGGGAGAGGAGTGGGGGGAGGGGGAGGGAAATGGGAGGCTGGGAGGAGGCGGAAACATTTTTTTTTCTTATTCTCAATAAAATAAAAAAAGAACTGAATGAATAAATAAACAGACGCATTGTTAGTCATGAATTATTTGTATTTTCCCTTCAAAACAAGCATTTTATTCTAAGCTACCATTTTATTGATATTGGTTTTGATTTTAACGACTAATATAGATAATGGGAAAGGGCTGTGAATGGAGTCTTGTTACTCTATAGGTAGATTATAAAAAGCTATACATGTGTTTGCTTAGGAAAGAATACAAAATTATTTTCTTTAGTTAGTCTAAAGAATAAAATTATTATTTAGCTCATAAGAGAAATTGAAATTATGGACTACTTACCCCGATGTTAAACATTCCTGTAAAATACTCCATATTTGCTTGAATGAACCATATATTGCTTAAGCCTAGTTCGTCACTTCTCTTCTTAGCACGGATCAATGATAATTCCTTGTTTTCTATTAATATAACCTAGATTTTATGCAGAAAAAGTATTCTCAGTAACACAATTCAGACATTAGTGCTGAGCATTATCACTATATTTCACATCTTACTGATACTGCAGAATGTATTTACTATCCTCTATCCTGTATGACACACCCGACACAGAAATGAACAATGCAATGATAAAAGTGAAAGAAAGAAATAGCGGTGTTTTACGTATTCAGTTAGACTGAAGTGTAATGGGAGCTCAGATGATGACTAAGGCAGATATTAATGGAGGACTGAGATGAACAGAAATTAGCTAAAAAACAGCTTGGCCTGAGGAGTACGGTATGTCAGCATTTGAAGAGCCAAGAAAGCAGTTTGGCACAGTGTGTGGTAACAAAGAGAGTGGGAGAGGGGGAAGGGTGGAAAGGCTGGAGACAAGGTGGAAGAAATAACGGGAGCTGTATCCTGTACTTAGGATAAAGCAAGGTTCCAAAAATTGCAGTCAATAGCTTGGATTGGTGCAATAAGGCCGAAGGTAGAAGGAGCCTCCACCGGTAATCAGAGGTAAAAATTAAAATATTGTTATTATATTTTTCTTATGCATGCTTTATAGAAGAACACTATATCACTTTACATAAAACACTTGCTGTACAGTTGATATTAAAAACCTTCTGGTTTTACCCAGGGGAAGCTGATTTTCAGGTCAATCTACCTAAGTTTCCAGGAGAATTATTAGGAAGGGGAAAGATGCCCCACCTCCATCCTGCATCTCAGGACCCTGCTCTGTGAGCTTTTCCTCACTGCTACAACAGGGACTGCCTCTTCTCCTCAAACTTTTATTTATTTTGCTTTTGTTCTCTAAGGCAGTGGTTCTCAACCTTCCTAACTCTGCAACCCTTTAATACAATTCCTCATGTTGTGTGACCCCCAACCATAAGATTATTTTGTTGCTACTTCATAACTATAATTTTGCTGTTGTTATAACAGGAATACTTTTGGAGACAGAGGATTGATTGCCAAAGGGGTTGTGACCCACAGGTTGAGAACCATTGCTCCAAGAAAGCAACGGACACCACGCCAGTCATTTTTCTACCAGCTCTGAGTGCAGAGTGCACTATCTGCTTTTAAAAATGACAGTTTCTTTTACCAGATTTGTGTTGAAAATTAAGTTAGTTTTATTGTATTTGTTTTATTCAATAATGGAAAAGTATCTGTTTTACTAAACACACATACTTTAAAATATTGCTAACTCTACGGTGGTCATATTTTCCTTTTGTTCCCATTAAGATTCTGATCTGAGGAGTTTACTTCCACACAAAGTATGTGCCACATATTGATGGCAGATAACTAGCAGCGCAAAGAGCGGAGCCGAGGCCGGGCACGGTCTGAACTGCTCCACTTGGTCTTTTCTCCGCCCTCACCTGGCAGGACGGCAGCGTATGCGCGAGAACAATCCCAACATGGCCCTGCGAAGTAAAACAAGAGAAATAACTTTGGTTCCCATGGCTTTTGTTCATTATTAGACAGTGATCTTGCCAGATAAAATCATGACCTTGAATGCAATGTAGCAAGGTCTCATGATCTTGGAAAGGATAAAGGATAAAGGAGACATGATACCCCGCCACTGCAGAAATCCACAATTCTGTCACCAGGTTTGGCTTGATTTAGCACCATGTAAACAAGGTTGTTTAACTGCTGCTGCTTCCTTAAAGCTCGGTCAGTGGACATTTTGCCTGTGGAAGATAAGAGATGAAGAAAACAGCATTATGAGGGACCAATTAGTCAGAACAGAGATTGATATAGAGAAGGGTGTTCTATGTGCATATGTCCACATATACACCCATCAAAAAATGAAGTACAGATTCCATGTAATTACTGTGAGTAGAAAAGTAGAACCCAGAAACTAGTTCTAATTTTGATGTTGTAGAATATTATTTATAATGTGCCATATCTATTTAGGCTGTGGAACATTTATTTAATGATGCAAAGATGTGTTGCATTCTCTCTCTTTTTTTTTTAATTTATTATGTATACAATATTCTGTCTGTGTGTATGCCTGCAGGCCAGAAGAGGGCACCAGACCCCATTACAGATGGTTGTGAGCCACCATGTGGTTCCTGGGAATTGAACTCAGGACCTTTGGAAGAGCAGGCAATGCTCTTAACCTCTGAGCCATCTCTCCAGCCCCAAGTTGCATTCTCTTAAGTTGCATTTGTTTAACTCTGTGAAGCTGCGTTACTTTGCCTGTCTAGAACACCTGATTGGTCTAGTAAAGAACTGAATGGCCAGTAGCAAAGGCAGGAGAAAGGACAGGTGGGGCTGGCAGGCAAAGAGGATAAGTAGAAAAAGAGAGAAAAGAATCAAGGAACGAGAGAAGGAGGATGACTCCAGGGGCTAGCCACCCAGGCATACAGCCAGCTGCGGAGTAAGAGTTTAAGTAAGATATACAGAAGTATGCTAAGCCCAGAGGCAAAAGGTAGACGGAATAATTAAATTTAAGAAAAGCTGGCTAGCAAAAAGCCAAGCTAAGGTTGGGCATTTATAAGAAATAATAAGTCTCTGTGTGTATTTATTTGGGAGCTGGGTGGTAGGACCCCCAAAGAGTAATGAGACCAAAGAATAAAGCAAACAACTACATTTTGATTATAGTATTTTAATTAATATGTACTTGAATGTCTGACCCCAGTTGGTGGAGCTGTGGAGAAGTTATAGAACTTCTGGGGTTCGGGGAGCTTGTTAAAGTACATCACTGGAAGGTAGGTAGGGGAGACTTTTTAGGGTTTACAGCTTTACTCCACATCTGCCATCATCTCCGCTTCATATATGCTGATGAAAATGTGAGCAATCTGTTCCCTGTTCCTGCTGCCTGCTTTCCCAACCATGAGGGCCTTGCCCTCTGGAGCCAAAAGCAAAAATAAACTGTTTCTTCTATAACTTGCTTTTAGTCCTGGAATTTTATCATTGCAACAGGAAAGTAACTAACACATTCACTATGCAACTTTTCTTTCAATGAAGACAGTTTTCCCTAAAGAGTACAAGTAATATCTGAAAAATAAAATCCCAAACCATAAAGGTTAAATCAATCTGAATACATGAAGAAAAAAATATTCTAGTCCTCCATTGCTCCCAGAGATATACTGTAAAAGACTGCCAACTTCAGCACTGCTTCCATTTCCTTACAGAGTTCTAAGAACAGTTTAGTTATTTCTGTATATCCTCTAACTCCATTTCTTTCCGTGGGACCCTGAGAAACCAGGGAGCACAGGTGTCACATGGTCAGAACGACAGGGTTGCTGTATTCGGAGGGAAAATGACTTTCCTTTTCCCACATCAAAGCTTCCTGTCCTCATGAGTCAGACATGGAAATTTAATGCAGTTAGGGACTAAAGATGGGCATTTCCAAGTATGAAATGCTCTGGGCAGCAGCATGAGATCATTGTAACTTGCCTTTCAAAAGCCCACTTGTAGCATTCCCAAAACATCCTTAGAAAGATGAATGGCATCACTGTCTGTCTTAGGTATAAAACACATTCCGTCAGTTTGATAAAAAATATGCAAAGATAGACTTTCTTGCTCCAATTTAAGATTAAAAATATTTTTCTCTTTTTTCTTTTTCCCATTTTCCTTCCTCCTTGTAATACTAAATTTAAAAACTAGGAATATTTTATTAGAAAAAAGAAAATTATAATAGCCAATTTCAAAAGTAACATTGACATGCATATACTATATCTCTAATCCTTAACTTTCTACCCATATTCAAAATGTTATATTACAGACATCTTTTTATGTCAGTGCATTTGTCTCTAAGCATATACTTTAATGGCACACAGTATTACACTGATTATGTATAAACCATGGTTTCAATAACCTGTGTTCAATTCAGCATTCAATAATATAATTGCTATTACATGGCTGAATTTTTACACATTCTCAATCACTTATCATGCCTAACCTGAGTTTCAAACATTAAGAGTTTGAAAATCAGCCTAGTTATCTCATTTGTAAAGAGAGTTTAATGTGGCTTTGTATTCTAAAAGAATACTCATTCCCTCCAATAATGTAATTATAACCATTTCCACATAGAATAAAATGAGTCCCTGTAGTTTTCCTTTTCATGGAAACCACCAGAGCTTTTATCAGGACAACTTGCAAGCACAAAGCACAACTGAAACAATTTATCAGTGAACACTTCTGCATTAGTTTCATTATTGCAACAAAATACCTAAGGCAGGTAGGTTACTTATGAAGAAAAGGAGAGGCTCAAGGTCCAACCTCGACAACACTAGCAGTTTTTAGGGTCCACAGTACATTACACATTTACATGGTGAGGCATGATGCTCCAGACATTAGGGTTGGGTGGGCTTCTACAGCAACACAACTGACTCATTCATTGATTGGTTTACCGTATGTGTCTGCATGCTTACGCTATGGAATGTGTGTAGAGGTCAGAAGACAACTTGCTCGGGAGTCAGTTCTCTCACTTTATTTACCATGTGGGTGTCAGGGCTAGAACTCAGGTCATCAGGCTTGGCAACAAGCAGCTTTCCTGGATGAACCATTTGCTGGCCCAGGCCCAGACTTTTATAACAGCTTTTCTGTTTTAGAACTTACCAGGAGACTACCACATACCGTCTGGAGCAATAACCCCAATGACTTATGACTGCCCACTAGTTACACCTGCTACAAAGAGCATCAACACCATGGCAGGCTCTACACCATCCACCACATAGCTTCTCCCATTAACAGCTCACAGCATGTGAGGCAGCGCACTCTTGCTTGCTCCATCTCACCATCCTAGTTTGTCTTATGCTTTCTGTGGCATGAAGGCTTAATTTGGAACAACAGACTAAGTATATGGGAGATAGCCAGGCAGTGGTGGCGCACGCCTTTAATCCCAGCACTCGGGAGGCAGAGGCAGGCAGATCTGTGTGAGCTCGAGGACAGCCTGGACTACAAGAGCTAGTTCCAGGACAGGCTCCAAAGCTACAGCAAAATCCTGTCTCAAAAAACAAAATAAAACAACAAAAATATGGGAGATGAAGGTAGGTAAGATGGCTTGGTGGGTGAAGATGCTTGCCTCCAAGCCTGAGTTTATCTTGTGACCCACATGGTGAAAAGAGGCAACTAAGTTCTACATGCTGTTCTCTGATCTCTCCATGTGCACTCCATGAAACATACATGCATGCACACACGCACACACACAACTGAAATAAGAATAAAGGAGAAGAACACAATACACAAGAATATGTACTTTGAGGGTCTGTCTAAGGGCTGAAGTCCCAAATGCTGCTGCTAAGTGGCCACAACGAGGCAAAGAGCAAGCACACACTTATGTCTTTCCCCTATCTGTGGAGTTACATAAGACAAAGTACAAAGGAATTCTATTATTTTGTAGAAAAGAAGAACATTATTAAATGGAGTGTCTAGCTGCAATCCTATAAAGTGCTTCTATCAAAAACTCAGAACAGTCTAACTCCCTCACGTTTGTTTCAAAAGCAAGCTCTGATAAAGACTTGCCTTCCTACGATTGTCTTTGCAAGTAAATACATCTACGCTGAAACAAAAGGTGAAGACAGAGAGCTTCTCAGATGTGTGTTTACGTGGAGGGACTGCTAGATTCACACTTAAGCTAAAGTACAGCAGCCAGATGCCTAGATACTTGAGAAACTGCCTCCAATAAAACATTCTCTCTTCCCATTCCAGATTTATAAATATTATGAAGTTCCTGGAAACATAAACAGGATCTCAAGTGTATTCAACAAGGTAAAAAATAGTGTTTTAGAGTATGTACTAATTAAAAAATGAAACCCTACTTTGTATTTTTATTCAGTGTCCTTGTATCTAAAACAATTTACAATATAAAATTGCAATCTACTTTTAGCTTAACTAAAAATGAAAGTGCAGTGGAAAAAGAAATCCAAGCAGAGAACATTTGAATATATATGATGTCATGATTCTTCTGCAGTGCAATCTTTGTCTAACTCACATTAGGATGCATTTGATTACCTAAACCATGTGACTGCTTTCTGCCTGTTGCAAAGTGAGGAAGACAAGGTTTTTAGGCCAGGAGAAGACTTGTTAAAAAATCAAAGCAAGAAAAGAAACAAAAGACTTAACTGGGCTGGAACACTCTTTGGGGTTCTGGCAGTTCTCAATGTTTTGTCCCTTGGTGCAAAGCAACAATGTACCCTGCATGTTATAACTTGCTTATGTAAGAATGTTAAGAAAACCCTAAGGCTAGACATATACTAAAGTTCTTCAATAGAGATCCTTTGTTGTTTTGTTCTCAAAGCATTTCTTTAAGTTACAGCATGGTCACATTGTATGAATTAAAAAATATAACTAATATGAAGACTGAAAACTAAAGCACTTCTACTTGAGAAACTATAGAATCAAGAAAAAGAAAATTTACTCAACAGAGATCACATGGGTGCTTACCACCCCTTCTAGAAAGCCAGTCAAACAACTGAAGGACAGAGCACCTTTGGTTATAGGTAGTGTTAAGAAAGTCTTTACCTAGTGACCACCCTGATTGTCATCATAGAACCTACATCCAGTAATGATGGAAGCAGATGCAGTGACCCACAGCCAAGCATGGGCTGAGCTCCTGGAGTTCAGCTGAAAAGAGGGAGGAGAAATCATATGAATAAGGGAGGTCAAGATCATGATGGGAAACCACAGACAGCTGACCCGAGCTAGTAGGAGCTCACAGACTATGGACTGACAGCTGGGG